CCAAGTTCTGGGAAATTTTCAGCCAAATTCTTTGGTCGAATACTGCCTTCAGTCTACTCTTCCTATACTTTCCCCCCAGAAGTTAATTAGGTATCCGAAATCAATTGTCCTTTGTTATCTTTTGCCTATTCACCATCTTACACTGGGAAGCAACCCATTTCCACACCACATGTAAAAAGTCCTTCCAGCGTGTATCATTTTGATGCTGTCTCTCTCATCTGGTGCCTGCTGCTCTCTCCGGCCTTCCCTTGCCTTCGCCCTTTGTCCAGCTCCAGTCCTACTTAGACACCATCACTCTTTTTAAATGAATGCGCCACGCTCTCATTTTCCTGTTTGCTCTCCTGGGATGAACCCCCCCTCTCGGCTGGCCTTCTCTCAACGGCCAGGTCACTCTGCCTCACTCTCCCTGTCCTGCAGGTCTTGGCCATGACCCCTCCTCCCCAAGGAGCCTTCCCCGTGGGTTGGATGCGCCTCCCAGGGTCTCCCGTAGCGCACCGTGGTTACTGCTATTGCAGCCTGTACCTCGCCACCTTTTAAACTAGGCATCTCCTCTCTCCCACCGCGGACTGCAAGCTGCTGGGGGGCTGCTACAGGATCCTCACTGCTACACGCATCACAGGGTCTGGGGCACCAAAATTGCTCCGTACCCATATTTTGAGTTTTTAAATGTACGATGTTGAATGTGAGGTAAGGAAGCAAAATAAACCCAAAACAACAAAAACCCCCATATCATTTATTTTTCCTGGAAGCCTGGTTTTGAAAGAAAGATCTTGGTTGGGTGGTAGCCAGAATGAGTTGTTTTGCTCAAGGGTACTTTTTTTTTTAATGGTTTTTAGAAGAAGAAGGAAAAGGGAAATAACAAAAACATAGGGGGAATTAAGTAACAAATGGAACATTACTTTTGGGGGAAGGGATAAGCAGGGAGTGGATCAGAACCAGTACGAAGAGGATGGCCTTGGAAAGGAGAAGAGTGTCCGTGTCACGTGAGAAAAATGAGGTGAAAGTGAGAACTGAAATACGATAAAATGAAGTGAAGATTTCACCCGAAGTTTAGGCTCAGTGAAGTAAGGCGGTCAGAGAAATACCACACGATTTTATTTTTATATGGAATCTAAAGAACAATGTAAACAAAGTGGAAACAGACTCAGACACCAAGAGCAGACTGATGGCTGCCAGAGAGGAAGGGGCTAGGGATTGGGGGAAAAAGGTAAAGGGGGTGAGAAGTGCAGGTTGGTGGTTATAGGAAACACGGGGCTGCAAAGTACAGCACGGGGAATGCAGTCGATAATGTTGTAATGTGTACGGTGCCAGGTGGGTATTGGAAATATCAGGGGGAACGCTTTATAAAGCATATGATTATCTAACCACCATGCTGTGCACTTGAAACCCATACAAAATAACATTGAATGTAAACTCTAATTTGTTCAGTTTCTATATATTTCCCCATTAAACAAATTTTTCTTTGGTGAGCATAACAGGTTTTTTTTAAAAGTTATATAACATATAACCCCCCAAAAAGCAGCAGGAATACTGCTTGGTCTTCAAATTTTTTCCTGCTGATATTCAAAATGAAATTGCTATTGTTTCAGGAATAAAATAAAATAATATGTAAAGCCGACACAAATTTTTAAAAATTGAGCAATACAAAAGCTATACGTGTGTCTGTGTGTAGATATACACACACATGCATATACTTATATAGGATAAAAATTATTTTTAAATAGCAGTAAATACACAGAAAACTACTGATGAAGTGAAGAGGAAAATCAGTACCCCCCACAAGCATAAGAGCTTAATAAAACATATTCAAAAAGTTTTAAAATCTGCAAAAATGCTGCTGTGATTCCATTGTTTTCAAGGTATATATGAAACCTTTGAATCCAATGCACATGTTGTTCTTTTGTGAGCTGAGGGACTCCTAACCCTGTCAACTTCAGAACAACTTCTGAAAAGGCTTCAGAGGAAGGTTCTGGGGTTGTCCTTGGTTGGGTATTAAAGCAAACTCAGAAACTGAATGTGTCCCAACCTGGTGCAGTCATCACGGTGCCTCCAGCTGTTGATTGATTACATCCCCCAGGTTTCAGTAAGAGGATTTTTGAGTAAATGTCCTATTTCAAGAAAGCCACACTTCAAGAATTCCAAGTTTGTGGTTTTATTTCCTCAAGACCCAGTGTCTGGCTCTTCAGATAACATCATTAATACTTTGTAGTACTTTTATCCCAGAATGTCTATTGTCTCTAGATTTGACAGGGAGGATGATTTTACAATGTATTCATCTATTAAGTACATACCAAAATGTACCATTTTTAAATTATACAAATTGCAAATTAGTAATATAACATAAGCTTGTAGGACATGGACAAGGACTGGCTGGGCTTTGGGCTTTATGGGTCATCTGACTGAGAGAGGAGTTTCCATCTCATGGTTGTATCACCCTCTTCATCGAAACTTCCCACCTCCTGCTCCTTAGAGAGCTCTACCAACACCTAAATAAGAAACAAACAAGAAGGAAAAGATTTTTCAAGGTGTTGACTGTCTTCCAAACAAACAGGAACAATGCGTTACTGTCACGTGCAGTTTGCAAAGACATACAAAACCGTCACAGTTGACTCACCTTTTCCAAAGTGCACTGAGAGAGGCTGTACTCCTCCAGGTTAAAATTATGTTTCACTGGGGGGGAAAAAGAGTAGTAGTAGACACTTATAATGTATTGCCAAGAGCTTCTTTTAAAGTCAGACAAACTAAAAATGCAAGTCATTCCCACAATGGAATATAGAGCCAAATAAACAAATGCTTGGTGACAGGAAGAAATAATGAAGAGTCGGAGAGAATGTAAATACATAGTGAATTAATCTTCATGTTAGAATTTTCTCCGATTACCTTTTGATAATAAGTGTTTTATCCTAAGTTCCATGAGGAACTACGTAGCTGACTGATATTTTTTTACACAAGGGGAAGGGTTTGATCCCACTCCATTCCCTTTAAAAGGACCCAGTGCTTCTGTGGAATCTGCTTCAGCCAGTTCCGGTGCTGCACCAGCTCCCTGCTGGGTTTCCCCACCAGGAAGAAACCCACATCTGCATGAGAGTGGTCACCAGATTTACATATTCATGAGTTCACAGTACGACCTTTATATATACATTGAGAACCTTCTGTGTGTGGGAGCCACCCTTAGGTGCCTGGGATGGAGCTGTAAATAAAACAGGTGAAAAGGAAAACTCCAGCCTTTGTGTAGTTTGCTAGCTAGTGGGAGGAATATGGGCATTAAATAAGCAATATATAATAAACCTATTCATTTATATAAATATAATAAAGTGAATGATGACAGCTACTATGGAGAAAAAAATCAAGTGAAGGAGACAGGGAGTGGTTAGGAAAGGGCACAGTAACTAGGCAAGAAGTGAGCAGGAACCCGAGAGAAGGGAGGAGGCAGCCTGGATATTTGGCAAGTAGAATCCCAGAAAGAAGGATTAGTGAGTGCACTAGTGAGTGCACAGTCCGGAGGCAGGACTCTGCCCACCTCGTAGCACTCAGGAAGACCTAGGAAGTCAGGGTGTCTAGACTAGGAACAGCAAACCAGAGATCTAGATTCCGATGAGCCAGGCACTGTTCTAGGCTCTTTACAAACGAGCTCATTTACTTTTTATAACCCTGCCAAGGAGGCACTTACTCTGTCCCTCATTTTAGAGATGAGCCACGGGGACATGGCGGCATTGTGCATCTTTGTCCAATGTAAGCAGCAGAGCTGGGATGGGAACCCCGAGAGCTTGGTGCTAGAGCCAGAGCTCTTTGCCACCATCTGTGCTCGGAAATTCCACCACGATGATTTGTGCTTGGGGAATGACCCAGGGAACAGCGGAGAAAAGATGACCAAGAGAGAAAGTGGACAATTTCAAGGGACAAGAGGAGTCACGTGCAATTCAGGGGACAGTCTTGGCTGGACACAGCCCGTTGGTTCATCTTTAATAGGAGGACAGAACACACTGCAGGCAGACGCAGGGAAGTTTTCTGCTGCCTTTATTTAATGAGTGAAATAAAGAGCAAGGGCATCAACTGCGGGAGACAAGAAGGAGGGAGACAGGTACATAAGAGGAGAAATGAGTAATTCAGGCCCTTGTTGGGAAGGGGCAGTGGACATGTAAGCAAAGCGGACTGCACTACAGGGCTTTCTGAGCTTACTGCCACCAACTCACATGGCAACCAATCAAGCACAGCTGTGTGTTTTCTGCAGCTTCCCTCTGAATTGGAAACGAACCTCTTCCCAGAGATTCAGGTCAACCAAAACTGGGGTTAAATCCCACCATTATGTACCATGAGAATTCTTAAGATGATACCCTGTAGGACCTATTTTTAAAAACGTGTTACACAATTATCTCCTATTAAATTATTATCTAAGTATGAATTAATTCTTCGAAAGTTTTCTTTTAAAAATGGTCACTCTTACCTGCCTCTAATTTGCGAAAGGCCTGAGATAGAGGGTGGACATCCGCCACGGGCAGTTTATAGGCCAAGAAGAAGGAATATCTAGGGATGAGAAAATGTCATTTTTGACCTTGAGTTTCAAGGGGAAAAAAATGACCATCAAAATAAATATTGATATTATCAGCAATTTCCTTTTTGAAATAAAAATAATGCAAATTAGCCCCGGCCGGCTGGCTCAATTGGTTGGAGCGTCGTCCCATACACCCAGGGGCTGCGGGTTCAATTTCAGATCAGGGCACATACCTAGGTTGTAAGTTTGATCCCCAGTCAGGGTGAGTATGGGAGGCATCCGACTGATGTTTCTCTCTCTCTCTCTCTTTGCCGCTTCCTCTCTCTAAAAATCAATAAACATATCCTCATGTGAGGATTAAAAAAAATAACAATGCAAATTAACATAGCTCACACATGAAACAAATAAAGTAAGTTATCAATGGGCATTTCTTAAAATGGCTTTGGTAGCTGGCTGTCAGAGACAGCTCCCTAGAAGTGATCTAGTGTAATTATACATACACTCAGTCTACCCAAACTTTTTCCCTGTTGAAAGCAGGTCTTCTGAACTAATCCCCTGGATAAATTCAAATTAGGCTGGAATTAATCTCAACCTAATATCTCATCCTTATCACCAGAAAGCTAAGGAAAGAGAGATATGAGGTTCGGAAAGAGGGACATGATAGTGGAGGGGTTCAAAAGGCTTTAACTAAAAATGTCCCTGACTGCCAAGGACAGAAGAGCCGGGGCTGATTTTTTGAAATCTTGTTTCCACATGCTGCTTCTGGCTATGTGACCACACATCCCATTCTCGGCTCCTTCCCAGACAGAAGCCTGATGCTCCCAGGTAGCCCCAAAGCTGCCCAGACTTCCAGGACTGGCCTTCTTCATCCCAGATGCTGTCCTTCCAACCTTACCACTCATGATCTTCCCACCTACATCATAACTGCTTCTTGGATCTGTGACACCAAAGGTCTAGGAATAGGACTGTTAAGTGCCCTGCCATAGACATCCCATAATGCCACTATATTTATACTGTGCTAAAATGGAAAAAGCAGTTATGTTCTGCTTCTTTGGGGTGATTATCTCTCCAAGGAATTTTAAATTCAGTTCCTGCTCCACCTCCTTGCCCACCTCTCCATCAATAACACACACACACACACACACACACACACACACACACACACACACACACACACCCTTTCTGGTCTCCTTTTTGAGGCATGAAAACTCCATTAAAGGAAGATTCTTTGATTATCTCAGTTGCTATTTGTTCCCTGAGGGCGATTCATCATAAACAGTTACATCTTTTAAATTGTAAATATTTACATCTTTTAAACATTTATAGTGAGGCAGGCCCAAGGAAGGTGCCATGTGCCTGACTATGGTCCTGTGTGGGTTCGAGTCATCAGAAATACCCCCAGTTTTTCCAAGTCCCCATCCAGAGCTGAGGATCAGCCCTGGAGGGCAGAGGAGACCCATGAAGGGTGTCCCCAGGCTTCTCTCGGGGACACAGCTTCCTGGGTAGTTATCAAATCTCATAATCTGGGAGACTCAACAAGTCAATTTTTGAGGTATTTAACTTTCATTATGAAGTCAAATCACCCTGAAGTTCTCACAGAGTAGAAAAGGAACCACTGAGTGGGTCAAGCCAACAGGTTTCTCCATAATCAAAAGCTCCTTTCACCTTTCCTGCTGTGCAGCCTGTGGGAAAAGCTTCAGGATCTCGGTGTGGACCAACACTACTTGAGAAGTTTCCTTCACTTTTATTTCTAGGATGTAATCCTTGCCAAGTTTGTTTTTCAGTTGTTGGATGGAGCCAATGCATCTGTGGGCAAGAAGGAAAACATGTTGGAATAAGTATTGCCCCTGAGGTTTTTTTTTTTTTACATTATTCTTAATTTTCGAATGTAAGGGAAAGGGTATCACTGAGGTAGCTGGAAAGAACAACTCCAGGTGGTGACTGTCCCATTTTCATAGGGAATCTCATTTTGGGGGTCAAGTGAAGGCTATGAAGAGACACTCACCTCAGCCTTCCAGATACCATGATGGCGATGCGGTCACAAATGGCCTCAGCCTCAGCCAGGTAATGGGTGATCAGGATGGCCCCCTTCTCTGTGTTTTTAATGGTTGTCTGGATCATCTGCCTGAAGTAAGCCCCCCAAAAATCAACACCATTAAAAAAAGAGCATGGCAGGGGGAAAAGAAATGAAGAAGAAATTTTATAGGCAAAATACAGTTTATAAATCATATTTAGACCCTAATTTAAAAACAGGTAAAAGTGACTACTGACTAGGTTTTTTTATAATACAGAGAAAAGTTTTAAAATATTTTTAGGGTGATAATGGTATTCTGGTTAAGTTAAAAAAACACACAACTCTGTATCTTTTATAGAAACTAACTGAAATATTTATAAATAAAGAACATGCCACCTAGTATTTGCTTGAAAATAATTGGGGAGTGGGGAAAGGAAGTGGGTGGAAGTATAGATGAGAAAATATTGACCTTCTATGGATAACTGCTGAAACTAGCCGATGGGTATAATGGGTTCATAAATGATTCTCTTTACATTTGTATAAAATTTCCAGAATAAAGTTATTTTTAAAGGCTGGACAGTCACAAACGTGAAACTGGATTGAAAAATTTCATTAGTCCAAATGGAAAGTCTTCGATAGAAAACTAAAAAGAACTTAAAAACTAAGAAAAGTTATATAAACAAATTTGACAGATTAGGGAAAAGGAAAAGGGGGAACTTATGTCATAAACTTAATAGTTTCTAAGAAAACAGAGACATCTCAATAATTAAAATACAAAATCAAAATACATTCCAAATTTCAATACCTAAAACTCCCACAAAATCCTTAGGGTTTTTTGTTTTGCTTTTTTGAACATGTGAATACATCACAAACATGATACAACATTAGAGAATCTACTTTTTACATACTTGTTTTCCTAATAATATGGAGTATCCCCACCCAATTGGGAACCAGTGGATTTGATTTTCTAAGACCAGTTTAAGAATGCAACTTGTACATAAGGTTTCTCCTTCTGGCTCTGAGGGTGACAATTCTCACCACATTTGCTGCTGCCCGGTAGGGTCCATGCTTGTCGATGGTTCATCCAGGAGCAGGATAGGTGAATTTCCCAGGATGCTCAGCATGAAACATAACTGAAATGCAGAGAAACGCCTCTATTTGCTGCCACCACCACATCCACCCTCAGAATAACATCATAACTACACATACCTTTCTGGTGGTTCCTGCCGTTAAGTTCTGCACTGGAACATTCAACTGTTGGTGCAGTTTGAAGGTATCCACCAATCTGATGGGAAATGGGGAGAATGTCAGGTGGAGAGAGGACGTGGGGGAAAGGCCATCACAGAGCAGAGGACCAGCCTTGGGGGGAAGCTGGGTGCTCCTATTCTCAAAACTAACTCTAATGACCAAAGGAAAATAACAGTTTATTTCTGAACGGGAAAGATTTTTCATCTGATAGGGTTATGCATGTAAGCATGTAAGTTCTTTGGTTGACCTCTTCCCTCCCCTACCCCTTCCCTCTGAGAACCCTCAGTCTGTTGCATGTTCCCATGATCTCACTTATATGTGGAATCTAATGAGCAAAACAAACTCCCTGCATCTTGACACGAAGGAATCGCATGACCTCTCCGTACCGTGTGATGGTGATGGTGGCGTCCGCTTTCCTCAGCCCTTTCACCGCAGCAAACACCTCCAAGTGCTCCCTCAACGTCAGGTTGGGCCACAGAGCGTTCTCCTGAGGACAGTACCCCAGGGACGTGACTGTGCCTTCTCCCCAAGGATTCCAAGCTGAGCTACATCCTTTCAGTTCCACCTGAGAGAGTAAACTGGTCTTAGAAACACGCGCAGCCTTTTCTCCAACTGCACAATCACTCAAGAAATTGGCATATAGTCAAGGAATGTCTACATTTTTTTTTTTGGAGTGTCAAAGAAATGTTTACAGAAATTACTCATATATTTATGATTAAACATGTTTTCAATGACTCAAAGCATAGTCATACAAAGATATGATCTAAATTTATCGTGACATTTCTATCCTGGGAATGGACACTGTTGCTTCATTTTTCTCTACCTCTCCGGCTGTTGGCTTCATGGCTCCTGCTATCATCCTAATAGATGAACTTTTACCAGCGCCATTGGGTCCCAGCAATCCCAGTATTTCACCTGAAAAAGAACCACTGATGATCAACATGGAAAGTGAAACATGGATGGACATAAAACTGTCTGTTCAATAACCTTCTTTAATAAGCCCTCAGTACCATTTTGAAATTTATAACATATATGTAATCCATGCCCCCCAAAAATGTTCTTTAACTCCTATCATTATATGAACTATTAGTGAGAAGTTTATGAATTTGATGTCAATACATCTGTCTTTTTTCTTTCTTTTTTGCCTTTTTAGTGACAAATGTGCCCAGATTGTTTATAGAGCAGGCAGCTGATGTGCTGAGCACATGGATTAGGGACTCCTACATTTGAGAAGTAAGGGACCTTTTCTCCACCCCAAATTCCACCACCTGTGTTCAAGCCATCTTTCGACCGGAACTGATATAAAAGTCTCTTAACTTGTCCACAACCCAAATTTATGAACAAACAATAGTCTGTGTGTATAATTTTTCAAAACATAAATAATTGTGACAAAACACTGGCTGGCTAATGACTCTCCAGCAGCATTCCAATAAGTTGGTATAAAATCTCAATTCTGTGCTGTATTTCACAAAGCTGCACCTCATCTGGCCCTGCCCACCTCTTTGATTTCACCCTTTCCACCTGCAGATGCAACCACCGGCCTCTGGGTGTATCTCCATTACTCCAAAGGCATCCCCATGCCTGAGTCCCTGCCCTTGCTGCTTCTTCTGCCTAGGGTGCCCTTATCTCTTCATGCTCACACAGCTGGCACCTTCTCATCACTCAGATTGTGGCTTAAATATTACTGCTCAAGGAAGGTCTGCCTTAACCCTAAGTGAAGGCAGCCCCAGGTCACACACATCATTTCACATATTTGCATTGCCTATGTGATCTCTGGTATTTTTCTTGATAAGTTAGTTTTGTTTATTGACCCTTTTTAGGGTATAAAATCTATGAGGACCAGAGCTTGCCTATTTCTTTCATAATTATATTATCAGAGCCTAAAACAGTCCCTGGAACACTCAAAAAACATATGTTAAATGAATGTAAGTACAGTGGTGCTTATGACACAGGTGTTCAGGGGGTATTTCTAAAAATCAAGGTGAATAAAGTGGTTCCTCCAAACCTTTTTTAACACAGAAGGAGATATTTCTTGGTGTTGCTTTCTTCCTCTTTTTTGAAAAGCAGTTTTTCTTCTGGCAGGTATATTCCTTGTGCAGACAGCTGGCAATGATGACAGGTTTCTGGAAGAAATGACAATGTGACTCTCCCCTGAAACTTCAGAGACATGATGTTCCCATGTCCTCCCCACTGGAACCCTCCATGCCCTGTGCCATGAACCAAATTGGATTTTGAGTCGGGGGGTGATCTTATCGCTTGTTTCAAATGTAACATGCACTCGCTTATGCTTCTTGCTTCTAAATGGGCTGAGAAAAGCAGCACTTCATGGAAGCTGGCTCATTGCCTGCCTTCCCAGAACAGAAGTGTCTAATCTCATGGGAATATCACCAGTATCTAAGTCAATCAGAGAAGAATGACTCTTAAAATCGCAATCTCTATTAGGACTTTATAACAAGCATCACTCATGTAAATTCCTCAACTCATGAAATTTTGGGTTTGGAAATCATAGCTCTAATTATCGAAGTCTATGTTTCTTGAAAGAAGAACAGAGCCATGGTGCTTTGCATGCTTCTCAGAGCTCCCAGGACACTTCCAAGAAGTGCCGGTATAGTTAAAAATTATGTGCTCTGGCTGGTGTGGGTCAGCGGGCTGGGCATCGTCCCATGCACCAGGAGGTTGTTACTTCAATGCCCAGTCAAGGGCACATGCCTGTGTTGAGGGCTTGACCCCCAGTTAGGGGCGTGCAGGAGGCAGCAGATTGATGTTGCCCTCTCACATCGATGTTTCTAGCTCCC